GTCCAGTTTTGATGTATGTCTTTTATAAAAATTAAGAAAATTGACAAAAAATTAAGATGCAATGGTTTCATTAATTTGATCCAACCACATTCTTCATCATCTTTAATCTGCTTTGACACAACAACAACCTTTTAATTTCTTCATGTTTTTTTCCTGACAAAAATAATATTTATAAATGTCTATACCAATGACAAAAGTATTAACAACACAAACAGGTGAATTTTTCATACTGCCATATTTGTAATTAAAGCGTATTATTTTCTCTTGCTTCGTCCGCCATTGCTAGCATAAAAAAAATCTCCGGTTGGTCTGAAATGCATTATGGGATATGGTGGGCAGAGAAGGATCCATCTGACCAGTCCTTCAATTTGGGGCAAAGGAAGGACGTATTTGTCGGCTGCATCGGAGGAGTCTTCGGTTTTGGACAGCCTCTGTCGTGGCGCTGTGACAAAAGTGACCAACAAATTTGGCCTTTGGATGACCCGGCCCACCCTTTTGGACACAGCCAAGGTCTGCAGAGGCCTACTAATTAGGCACTCCTTAGGTTCAGCTGTGTTTAACCAGGGCAGCTCCTAAAACGTGCAGGACTTTGGACACCACTGATGTAAATTTTGGCCATATGGTCCGTCAGCTGGGGGACTGGTCTAAATTTGGTTGTTTTTTTGTCTGTTTCTGGTACAGTTACACAGCATCAGTTTTAGGATGAATCAGAATGTAGGTAGTTCTTTTGTTTTAAATTGCAATGTTCTTCTTTACTTTAAGCAGTTTCCACAGTTATGGAATTGGTGCAGTGCGCTTCTTCTTGTTTTTGGAAGTTCATTTTATATTCCTTTAAGTTGACTCTCTTTTGGAGGCTTAGTTTTTTTGTGCAGTTAATACAGAAACAGGAGGGCTGTCTTGGTACTAACTTGTATATAGTGGTAAAAAAATAATTTCAGGACTTAATCTTCAGTGGTGTCCAYTGGGTCAACGAGAGTTTCAGCCATTTATTACCAGACACTCTCGCCAGTGGGGCTCCCCGGGGTGATCAGTTCCCAAGGTCAAGTTTTGTGTCCAATTGAGAGCTGATTTGATGATGAATAAKTTTTTTTAATCAAAAATGTGGAGCTGTTGATTTGACTGCAAAGTCTATTAATTTGGAGAGTAAACAATTATTTCTAAGGATTTAAGCTGGGGTAAAGTACTAAAGTACTATTGTATTCATGTTAGCTTTTCAGGCAACTAAAGGATGTAAATTTAAAGGAAAAGTTCAAGAGGTTTGATCAGTTTTTATGATGGTGGATAGGTCGGTGCATGGTTGAGGCTAATCCTCAGAAGACTGGACTGCATTTAAGACTCCTGAGGCCCAGGGGTCACCTTTTCTATAGTGCTGTTCCTTTAGGCAGAAACCTGGAAAGGCAGATACTCTGGTTTCAAAAACACACTGTCCGTTAACACCACTAGGTGGAACCAGTATGCCCAGGAAGCTCAAAGTGATTCTCCTTTAATCGAGGTCTGGTAGGTCCAAGGCGTCTCTCCCTCCCTAGTAGTTGTTAGAAGGTTGTTGAAGTTGAAAGGAGGCAAAGAAAAATTTTGCTCAAAGATGGCTCCTGAAGAGTTATTTTGGTTTTACCGCTGCTCTTTCTGGTCAAGTCTGTATGTGCTGTCGTGGTCTGCTTCGTAGTCCTTCGTGTCCCACGCTGGGTCCAGTTGTTGGGTGGTCTATTTTAGTTATGACTTGAGCTTGGTTGRTTTGAATCCCAGATGCAGGACTGTGATTAGGGTCAAAAAGGTTGCAAAAAGTTTTTATTAACAAATCAAAGCGCTGACGTGGCAGCAGAAAATTACGCACAAAATTTCCAGGACTGTGACATGAAAAATACAACCTGGCATGAGACGACGAYGATGACAACAACCATAAACAAAGATCTGACACAGACTGAAGACAGAACAGAGAACTAACGAGCAGAAACAAGAAACACCTGGGTGAGAAACAGGTGAGAGTGGGCGGGGCAGGAGCAAAGACAGGCTGGAGGAGTTAAATAAAAGGACAAGACAGAAAACCAGACTGGAACCAAAATAACACATGAACCCAGACAGACCATAACAGTTGTCTAACTGTACCATATTCCCTTTCGTGATGCTGTTATGTGGGTGACCTATAATGATTTGCAGTTGGGTAGGAGGCGTGGTTTATTGTTCATTATATTGAGGTTTGTTTGGTTGATTCTTTTGAGGCCTGCTGGTGGTTTTTTTGTTTGTTTGTTTTGTTTTGAATATTTGTGTAGTAGTTATTTTGTTGTTTTARTTAAGCTTGCTAGTGGTGGATGGATTGGTTTCAATATTTGTGAAACTGGATATAGAATATAGCATTCTGTGGAAGAAGACTATGATTGAAGGTGTTTAATTGTGAGTGGTCTAGTCACTTTATTCCCAGTGGCTGGTTGCAGTATTTAGGAATAGAAAACTTTCTTCTCTGTAAGGTTTGTTAYAGGGCTCCTACAGTCGTTGCTTTGATTWTGAGGGGAAAAGCTGGGAATTCAAGAAGGAGGACAGGTTTGTTCAGCAATGAAGGTGTTRTGGTGCATATAMTGTAGATGGGTTTGTTGTTTGTGGTGGGTGCAGATAGAAATTATATCTTGCAAAAAACCTGAGGYTTCTACGGACTGGCTGGGTTGGGGTAGGGCCCTATAAAATCTGTTTTATTTTTCCCAAATTCCACTTTTTCCATTTTCCCCCTTGAWTTCCACATKTTCATTGTAACCAWATTTATTAACCTAAAAAGTGTGTAGTTATAAAGTGACTGAACAATAATTAAACAAAAAACTAGCCACAGAAATAAAAAATGTCTGTTATTTCGCTTTCACTAACATAACAAATAGCTGAGGTTCAGAAGAACATTAAATTCTTTTTAGAAGGTGTTTAAAAGTATTTAATAAGAAAAAAAGCATTATGTGTAAAACAGAATCGCACATTTTAAAGTTATCTTTTGTAAAATAAAAATGGTTTAGAATTTAACTTAACACAATCATAAAGAAACAAAACTAATAAATGGCAACAATTTGCGCACGTTTGACAACTGAATACGTAGGATCTAAGCTCATTTACGTCTGTAGTGGAAGATCACCCACACGGACACACACACACACACACACACACACACACACACACACACACACACACAC